CAGGTATAGCTAATGAGCAATTGAAAAGAAACATGCTCAACTGCTATGACTTTTGTCTCAAGTGCTATTTTTCATAGCCCTGAGGAAGAGCACTTGAGACAAAAGTCATAGCAGTTGAGACATTGGAACAATAGCACTAGATCTCTAGCACATGAATAAAGTACTTTATTGACTCATCTGCTATTAATCTAGTGCTGTTTTTCCAATGTCTCAACTGCTATGGCTTTCGTCTCAAGTGCTATTTTTTCTGTGCCTACTGAAAAATAGCACTTGATCACCCTGTAGCACTTGAGAAAATAGCAGTTGAAAATCCGCTAAGCAATTGGCCAAATACTCAACTGCTATGAAATCTATTGCTATTTTCTCAAGTGCTATTGGATGATCAAGTGCTATTGTCTCAAGCGCTTTTTTGACTCATTTGCTATTAATCTAGCGCTATTTTTCCAATTTCCAATGTCTTAACTGCTATGACTTTTGTCTCAAGTGCTATTTTTCAGTTGCTATTGCCTCTGAGTAATAGCACTTGAGAAAAGGATCATAGCAGTTGAAGCACTGAAAATTGGAGAAAAAGTACTTGATCACCGTGTAGCAATTGAGAAAATAACAGTTCAGGATCCGAATAGCGACTGAGCAAATACTCAACTGCTATTTTCTCAAGTGCTATTGGGTGATCAAGTGCTATGGGGGAGGTGCTATTGTATCAAGTGCTTTTCTGGCTCATTTGCTGTCTAGTGCTATTTTCCCAATCTCTCAACTGCTATGATTTTTGTCTCAAGTGCTATTTTTCATGTGGTACCACCCCCTGAGAAATAGCAGTTGAGAAATCGGAAGAATAGCACTTGATCACCCTGTAGCACTTATAAAAATAGCAGCTGAGAACCCGACAAACAATTGAGCAAATACTCAACTGCTATTGTCTCAAGTGCTTTTTTTTGACTCATGTGCTATATATTTACTGCTATTGTTTCCAATGTCTCAACTGCTATGACTTTTGTCTCAAGTGCTATTTTTGATGGCCCAGAGAAATAGCAATTGAGACATTGAAAATTGGCAAAATAGCACTTGATCACCCTGTAGCACTTGAGAAAATAGCAGTTGAGAATCCGACGAACAATCTGGCAATTACTCAGCTGCTATTTTCTCAAGTGCTATAGGGTGATCAAGTGCTATGAGGGAGGTGCTATCGCCTCAAGTGCTTTTTTGACTCATTTGCTCTAGATCAAGTATTATTTTTCCAATGTCTCAACTGCTTTGACTTCTATCTCAACTGCTATTTTCATGTGCTACCACCCGCTGAGAAATAGCACTTGAGACAAAAGTCATAGCAGTTGAGACATTTGGAAAAATACCACTAGATCTATAGCACATGAGCCTCCCCCATAGCGCTAGATCACCTTGTAGCACATGTGAAAATAAATGCCGATCTTCCACCAAGAAACTGACCAAATACTCAACTGCTATTTTCTCAACTGCTTTTCTGGCTCATTTGCTATAGATCTAGTAATATTTTTCCAATGTCTCAATTGCTGTTTTTCGTTCTCTTGAGAAATAGCACTAGATCTATACACATGAGCCTCTCCATAGCACTTGATCACCCTGTAGCAATTGAAAAAATAGTAGTTGAAAATCGGGCAACTACTCAAATGCTATTGTCTCAAGTGATATTATTCACGGCTATCAAAAATAGCACTTGAGACAAATTCATAGCTGTTGAGACACTGAAAATTGGTGGAAAAGCACTTGATCACCCTGTAGCACTTGAGGGAAGAGCAGTTGAGCTTCCGTCAAGCAATCGGCCAAATACTCAAGTGCTATTGTCTCAAGTGCTACAGGGTGATCAAGTGCTATGGGGTAGGTGCTATTGTCTCAACTGCTATATTTGGCTCTTCTGCTATGGATCAACTGCTATTTTTCCAATGACTCAACTGAATTTTGTCTCGAGTGCTATTTTTCAAAGCCCTGAGAAATAGCACTTGAGGCAAAAGCCATAGCAGTTGAGACATTGAAAATTGGAAAAATAGCACTTGATCAACCTTTAGCACTTGAGAAAATAGCAGTTGGGAATCCGACAAAACAATTGGCCAAATACTCAACTGCTATTGTCTCAAGTGCTTTTTTGGCTCATGTGCTATAGATCTAGTGCTATTTTTCCAATGTCTCAACTGCTATAAACTTTTGCTCAAGTGCTACTTTTCAGGGATGTGAAAAATTAGCACTTGAGGCAAAAGTTATAGCACTTGATTTAGAGCACATGAGTCTCCAGCATAGCACTTGATCACCCTGTAGCAATTGAGAAAATAGCAGTTGAGAATCCGACAAACAATTGGCCAAATACTCAACTGCTACGAAATCTACTCAAGTGCTATTAGGTGATCAAGTGCTGTGGGGGAGGTGCTATTGTCTCTAGTGCTTTTTTGACTCATCTGCTATAGATCTAGTGCTATTTTCCCAGTTGTCAACGCCCCTGAGAAATAGCACTTGAGAAAAAGTCATAGCAGTTGAGACAATGAAAATTGGAGGAAAAGCACTAGATCTGTAGCACATGAGCCAAATTAGCACTTGAGACACTAGTACCTCCCCCATAGCACTTGATCGCCCTGTAGCACTTGAGAATCCGCCAAGCAACTGCGCTCCATTGATAACTTTCTACAGACACCCTCTACAAGGAACCTCTTGTCCAGAGGCCACTCCACTTGGAAGTGGAACCCACCAAATTCGTGATTGACGTGGAAAAAGGCACGAAATTCCGTATCAAATGTCTATCCGAAAAGCGACAAGACTTGATTATCACATGTGATTCGTATCTATTCGAAATCAAAAATCCACGTGGAAAACACGGAAGAAAGTCGCAGATTTTTCATAATGTTCAGCAGAATGACACGTTCTTCTTCGATATTGGGTTGAGGGAGGAGAATGTGAGTGGGGGGGAGGAATTGTCAATGGAGCGCAGTTTACTTTTTCATTTCTAAAAAAAATTGAAGATCGGGCGGGAATTCGAAAATTTACTGGCTGCCAGCTCGTCTATTCTAAGCAACCGTGCTCCAATGCTAGTTTTTTTCCGTATTTTGAAGTGTCCCTCTTGAGCAAGCGCGCTCCAATTGCGCGGCAATTCAAATTTTTCATATTTGCTCCGTCGCACATGGTGAAGCGATACGTAGATTAATATCTCGAAAAAACGTAGTTTTTATTGATTTTTGTAATTTTTCCGGAATTTAAAAGTATTTTATGAAAAAAACTGAAAAAAAGGGTTTTTTTTACGAAAAAATCAACTTTTTCGATGTGTTTATGGAAATTTGAGTTCCCGCCAAATGTTTTTGGAAATTTGAACTCCCGCCAAAATTTTGGTAATTTTGAATTACCGCTAAAACTTTCGAAAAGTTGGAATTCCGCAAAAATTTTGGAAATGTCGAAATCCCGCCAAAATTTTGGAAAGTTTGAATTCCCGCCAAAATTTTTGGAAAATTTCAACTTCCGCCAAATTTTTTGAAATTTTGAACTCCGACCAAAATTCTCTGAAGTTCCTCCAAATTTTTTTGAAAATTCGAACTCCCGCCAAAATTTTGGAGAATTTGAATTTGTGCCGAAATTTTCGGAAATTTGAAATCCCGCCAAAATTTCTGGAAAATTCAAACCACCACCAAATTTTCTGGAAAATTGGAAGAAGATTTGAACTCCCGCCAAGTTTTTGGAAAATTTGAATATCCGGCAAATATTTTGATAATTCGAATTCACGCCAAATTTTTTGAAATTTGATTTCCGGCGGAAATTCTTTAAAATTTGAGTTCCCGCCAAAACAAAGTTCCGCGACATTTCAAAAAATATTTTTTTTTTTTGAAAAATTGAATTCCCGCCAAATTTAAAAAAAATTTGAATTGCCGCCAAGTTTTTTGAAAATTTTAGTTCTCGCTATAATTTTTTGAAAATTTGAATTCCCGCCAAAACTTTCATATCTCGAAACCAGACATTTCGAAACCGTCGAAGATTATGCTTGAAATTTTCGAAATCTTCGACTCGATTTTAACCGATTTTCTGAAAAATTAGAACAAAGGAAGTGTCAAATTTTTTTTTTGAAAAAAAATTTTGCGGAAAATTTTTCGGTCAAAATTTATTTTTCAAAAAAAAGTTTGAAATTTTATTTTGTTCTAATTTTTCGGAAAATCGATTGAAATCGAGTCAAAAATTTGAAAATCTCGAGCCTAATTTTCAACGGTTTGGAGATGTCTCGCTTTCGATATACGGGACTTTCGGCGGGAATTCAAATTTCCAAAAACTTTGGCGGAAGTTCAAAATTTCAAAAAATTTGGCTGGAATAAAATTTTTCCGAGCACGGTTTCAAGATGTCGCGTTTTCAAAATTTCGCGGAGCCGTAAAACAAATCCCCAATTTTCCAGGATCTCCCCAAGGAAAAGGACATCGAACTGGAGCCAAACTGCGCCGAAGGCTATCTCGAGATTCTTCATTACCGACGATTTTCCAACGAAGATGGTGATGAGTTTTGGCGAGTCGAGAGAAAAAATCAGATGGTCCGCCCACAGATATTTCCGCGTTATGGAGAAGATAAGGTCTATGGATTGTGGCGGGATGTTCTGAAGCCTAGCAAGGAGACTGAAGAGATCAAAAAGAGAAGACTGGAACTTCGAGAAATGAATTGGCGAAAACTCAGAGAAAAATCGATTGAATCGATTGAGAAGGAGTTGATTGGAGCTGTGATGATGACGAAATCGGTGAAGGATGATCCGGAGGAGAAGACGGATCGAGAGGCCGAAGAGAACTTGAGAACCAAGGATCCGAAGTGGTTCCTGGCTCGAGAAGAGAGTGAACGGCGTCGGAAGTCCCATATGCAACATGTGGAATATGCGGCTCAGCATCCAGAATTATACATTAAGAAAAAGAAGAAAAAGTGTGTGATTATGTGAATAAATTGGGTTTTTGTAGTCTTGGGAACCCGTGAAATGCACCAGTAATCGAAAAAGTACTTTGAAAAAAAAAAAAAAAAGATTTGACCCCAATGGGGATTGAACTCGCGACCCAATTTTCTAAAACAGCAGCGCTATCCGCTAGGCCACGGAGTCAACAAGAGGAAGAGGTAAAGAGGGGCAAGACAAGGTTGCGCCCTCTCTCTCTCTCGCTGAGGGGAGAAGGGGGGGGGGGTGCCGTGGTTTCTTGCCACGTGGTAATGAAGCGTCAAGCAAGTGTGCTCCATTGAACATTGGCAAGATTTGGCGCGTATTCAAATTCTTTGGTGATTTCTCGCAAATATATGGTTTTTAAGGCATTTTTCCGGAGTTTTTCGACGATTTTCGAAAGTTTTTGTATTTTCTATTGGTTTCGAGCGATTTCGGAATGAAAAATATTGATTTTTTGTCAAAAAAAAAATCGAGAAACGGAAAATTTGGCGTGTTCTCGTCACATGTCATTCCCAATACCCCAATTTCAAAAAAAAGTGAACAATTTCATTATTTCTACCATTTTCGAAACAAAATCAATAAAAAATGGAGCGTGAGCAAAAAATGGAGCTAAAAGACATCAAAAACTACAGTGAAGTTTGTCTAAAAGGTTAGTCCCCACCCCCGAGTCCCGCCCACAGCACCATTTTTTTGCAGTCCCACCTGGAAAATACGTGGAAAACCGCGATTATGATTGGGAGGCTAATTATGGCCTCGATTGGGAAAATGAATATTTATACATTGGGCCAAAACAAGTCCTCGACATTTGCAAACTCAATCCGTTGTATCTGGTGGTGGAGCCGCAGAAATTCGTGATAAATCCGGAGAAAGGGACCAAGTTTAGTGTCAAAAGTTTGTCAAAAAGCCCGCAGGACGTGATTGTGACGTGTCATTCGTTCATGTTCGAGATAAAGGAGGCGAGACGGAAGCTGGGAATCACTTCACAGTGGTTTCATGTGATTGGGAAGGATGAGACCAAGACGTTTCACATTGTGATGAAGGATGCCAAGGTGAGAGAGGGAGAGCAGAGAAGCTAGAGTGTCTGACTGTCTGCACTCTCTTCGTCTCCTAAGGCAAGACGCATAGCGCGGAACGGGGAACGACGGCGAGAGAGTGAGAAAGCGCAGAGAAAGCTAAAGTGTCTGACTGTCTGGCACGACAGAGAGACAGAGAGACAGAGAGGGAGAGAGACAGAGAGAGAGAGAGAGAGAGAGAGAGAGAGAGAGAGAGGGGGGGGGGGGCGCATCAATATCTGTAGCCTCTACCTCCTTTTCTCGTGTTGCCCCGTTGCCTAGTGGATAGCACTGTTGTTTTTGAAATTCTGATCGCGGGTTCGAACCCCACCAGGGTCAAATCTTTTTTTCAAACTTTTTTTGTGGCAAAGCCAAGGTTTTGAGTCTCAGGCTAGAGCAAAACTACCCCAAAATCGAAAATCGTCAAAAAAAATTACCTTGGAAACCCGGATCTGTGAAGATAGATCCTTAGAGAGAAAGAGGTGTTAGAGAAAGCTAGAGTGTCTAGCTGTCTGCCACCTCTCTCTCTCTCGCTCTTCCCTTCTCGGGGCGCCAGAGAGTGAGAGACCCAGGGAGGCTCGACTATCTAACTGCCTGTGCCTCCCTCCCTCTCTCATCTCGCGCGCTCTCTTCCGCTCTCTGGTCTGTCACCCTCTAAATGACTTTTTTTCAGAACGAATCCCTGGAGAACTTTGCCAACTCCCCTCTCTACCTAGCTTCTGGCCTCATTGAAATCACCCACTACAAATCGCGAATCGCCGGCTCCTACACCAAACCAAAACTCGCGGATTCAGATGAGGAATGGGGTATCAAAGGATCGAAACTACTCATCCGAACTGGAAGTATTGACACTCATTATCATGGGTACTGGAAGGATTTCTTGAAGGTGGAACATGAGACAGAAGACGTCAAGAAACGAGAGGCAAGATTCAAGGAGCTACTTTGTCAGGAGATGGAGGCGGAGTCGATCAAGTATTGGACGGCGGACCCGAATGCGAAAATGTTGACACACATTGAATATCGAACGGATTGGAGTTTGAAGTGTTTGGCTAATCCGAGCTTGTTGCAGCAAATGAGTGACATAACGATAACGGAACCTCCTAGACCTCCGAAGCCTCCAATCCGATCGGAACCACCACCGGTAGAGCAGCCAAAGAAGATAGAGGAGGCGAAAAAGAAGAAAAAGAAGTGGAATTTGAGGAATATTTTCAAGAAGAAGAAGAAGAATTGATCTGTTTTTGGAGGGGGAATAAATGAAGATAATTTGAATTTCGTTTTTTTTTTGAATTATCAAGTTTTTTCATGATTCAAATGGAGGGGACATCACTGAATTCGAGCTTGTTAATTTTATGCAAACGCGCTCCACGGCAATGCTCGGTAATTCAAATTTCATCTGATAACTTCATCTTTTGAATCATATTTTTGCACCGCTTTCACTTAAATTAACACCCTGAGAGCCCGTGGGCCATCAAAGGCTGTCAAAAAGTCGACAGAGGTTTTTTCAGCGTTTTTCTTATAATTCTTGTTTGAAACTGCGGTTCGGTTGCTTTTTTTTCAGAAATTGTCCATTCTCACTAGAAATTTCGACGTTTTCAAGAGCTCCATCTGCCGGAAAAGTGGTTTCACAAAAAAAAATCGTCAACTACAAAAGAGAAGTTAGAGCTATCTTACAAGCAAATATTTTTCTCACATGGGTCAAGAATTTTCTGTGAATTGGTGGTCTGAAAGTAGATATTTCTGTGAGTGAATTCTGAAATTCCCAGTCCTCACTGGAGCCTGAGAGTCTGGAAATCTTTATCTGACCACGCCCCCGGTTTTCATTGCATTTTTGACTCCGGATGAGTATTTCCAAACTCTCAGGATCCAGTGAGGACTGGAAACTTCAGAATCCACTCACAGAAGCGTCTACTTCCAGTTGTCCAATTAATAGAAAATTCTTAACCCACTTGAGAAAAATATTCCCTTGTCAGTAACTTTTGGTCAGCTTTACGTGCTGCCCAACTGGTGAGCGGTTCGACCTAACCCTTGGGCGTTCGGTGCAAAATCCCCTGAGCTTGCCGTATATTGGTCGAATTTACCATAAATCCAAACCTCCGTCTGGCCAAAATCCGACCAGAAGCTGCCAATTGAGTTTCGAATACTTGGTTAATCCCAGCAGATCTCTTCTATATACTAAGCGGCAAGCTCTGTCTGTCTGTGTGTGTGTCCAGCGCTTATCACTGAATAACTTTTGAACCCCTCAACCGTTTTCTACCATATTTGGCATGTAGTCATGGGCCATCGAGCGCTTCAATTCTATGAAGTTTGGAGCACGGGTTACTGTAGGATTACGGTAGCTACAGTAACCAGATAACTCAGCAATAGCTAGAAAACGGGTTCGAAGTGCTCAGAATTGTTCCATTTTTGCATGTACTACCTAAGGGACCCCAATAGTACATCAACAAAAAATGGTGGAGATTACTGTAAGATTACGGTAGTTACGGTACTCCGAAAACTCAACTGGCAAGCTCTGCATGGATAACCTTCCAGAACATTCTCCTTCTTTCCAGAAACTTCGAGAAACTTCCAGAAACACTCTAGGAACTTCCTGAACTTCCAGAAACGTCAAAACATCTGATTATTTTGGCGGGAGTTCAATTTTTCAAAATTTCTGACAGGAATTCTAATTAGCAACATTTTTGGAACTTCAGATGGATGCATAGGGTTCATCACTACCCAAAGATGAAAATGAGTGTGAGCGTGGCAACTTAACCCCCCCATTGAGGAGCGCAGCGGCGAACAAAAAGGAGGTGAGCCGCCGTAGGCGGCGCCACCGACTGGTTTGTGCCTGCGAGTAAGTACATGGAGCCTCCTAGACCTCCGAAAATCCAATCGGAACCACCGGTAGAGGAGCCAAAAAAGAAGAAAAAGTGGAATTTGAAGAACATATTTTATGAAAAAAAAAGACAAAATAAAGATTTATCGGAGGGGAATAAATAAATAAATAAATAAAAATTTTTGCAGCGTTTCGGCTTCATAACTCCACCATTTAAGTATCGATAATAGGAAAAATGTTTAAATCAAGATGTTAGAAACGAAAAAAGTTGAGAGAATGTAGAAGAAAAATGTAAAGAATTTTCGAATTTTTGAGAAGTTGGTTAAATTTCAAACAAATCAAAAAGAAAATGAGATTAGAAAAAGTCTTGGAAGCAATTGACGTCTTGAAGAAAGAGCAAACATTGGCGAGTGGACCGGGAAAGAATCAGCCAACTGAAATTTTTTTTCTGAAAATTTCGTAAGAGGAGCAAATCGAGAGCTTACTTGTTTTGTGAGTTTGGATGTGTCGAGGCAATGTTTGAACCAAGTGTTCCAAAATCCATATCCCTCTAGCTTGATTCGGCCATTTGAAGATAGTTTGCATCATGGGAATTTCGCCTGCTGAATTGTCTTGAAGAATGAGCAATGGTTTGTTGGCATCCTTCAAACTTCTCCGGACCCGGGACACTTGATTTTCTATTCAGTTTGAAACATCATTGCATTATTTTCGAAAGCATTCATGATAACTTCAACTTCTGAACTTTGAGGCGTGATTAGTAATCCATTTTCCCTTTCCTTTTCCGCTTTCGATCATATCCTGGTAAAATTGAGTCAATCTGGGCTTCTTCTGTTGGATTCAGCTGTTGCTTTGGATGGCCTTATACTTGGGGAGTGGTGGACACGCCCACAACTTCACAACAAAAAATCGTCTATCCTTTGCGCATTTGAAGTCTAACTCCTCTCTTCCTTTCCAAAGAACTGAACCGAGTCCAAATATTCGATGCTGATTTCACCTGCTTTAGCTGGATGACAATTTGGTCCATACTTCGAGAGGTCTTGCAAATGCCAAAATCAGCTTGCGTCTGTATGACAGATCAATTGCTTGACGGCGGATTGTTCATCATCTTCTACTTCAAGCCACTGCTCATCAGACATGCGGCTACAGTTTGGGTCGCTCGTGGAATAGATCCATTCGGGCCAGCTTGATCAGGAGTTGAGCTGAAAAAAGATGAGAGGTAAGCCGACTGATAATTTTGTAAAATTAAAAAAAAAACCCACTTTTCTTCTGCATTATCAGTCACTGCGGCTACTGCGACTTGTCCACGAGATGGTGGCTGAGCTCTGGCTTGTATTGGACATTTCCGGCTAAAGTGGTGGCGACAGACGGTGTGGCTGGCTGTGCTGCTGCAACTCTGGGAGTGGGCGATGATCCGACTGATTGATTGACTTCCGTGCCATCGATTGGAGCAGCTACAGTTAGGACAGATTGAGTGGAAGATAATCCATCAGCGTTGGCGACTGAGCGATCGGCGTGTGTGCCATTAACTGGAGAAATTCTGAAATATTAATTGACTTTTTTTCATAACTCTGAAATAGAACGGGCTCACCAAAATAATCATAAAAATTGCGACCGCCAGTCGGGCAGTCCAGGGAAACGAATGAATGGACATCCTTCTCCTCCCTCTGGAGATTTGGAAGAAGGGGGCGTGTCTTTTTCCGATCGTCAGCTTGGGGAGAGGGGGCGTGACTTCATTGCGACACTCCTGACGCAAGTTGACCCGGGATTAAGAATGGAAAGTGGATTTCGCAATCTCTGACGCAAGTTGACCCCATGTCTGATGAAGGAAAGGCACGGTTCAACTTGCGTCAGAAGTTGCGAAATCCACTTTCCTTTCCTAATCCCGGGTCAACTTTTGTTTGAAGTTTCGCAAAGTAGTTTCGCCCCCTCTCCCGAAGCTTACGAACGGAAAAAGAAACGCACCCTTCTTCCAAATCTCCAGAGGCAGGAGAAGGATGTCCCTTCATTCGAAACTGACTTTTATTGTTTGACACCGCATATTACTCGGGTAGGGTCATAGAAAAACTATATATTGTTTTGACCGGAGTCACTCTCGTTTGAAATTTCATTAATCATTCGTTTGTTTTGAATGAAATTTTTGTCATACATTATTCTACCGTTTCTAAAAAAATGTTCATTCTGGCAACCTCCGCAGATTGCTAGGAAGAGTAATGCATGAGCTATTAAGAAGTTCTTTGTACATGAAGATAAGAATCAAAATCTTCCTCACAGATTTCTTTCCTGAATCAATTCCTCTGGATACACTCTCCTACAAAAATAAAAGTTAATTCCGTGATCTCTTAACAAATGATAGTAACAAAGTATTAACCA